CAAGTAACGTGTTTAGATGTACACAAGTGTTACACTGTAGCACTGTTGTAAAGTACAAGTGTGGATGGATATAAACCATTGTGTAACACTATAGTGTAACATGTAGCATGCAAGTACGTGCAATTGTGTCCCGGTGCGCATGTACGTACATACTTGCGTATGAAAAACCACGGTAATGTAACACTATAACAGACATGAAATGCACGTATCACACACACACCATTGTGTACTTAGTATATGCAAGTCGCCCTTACCCTAGGTACACATGACCCTGCGTACTCTATCCCCTAGGTACCCCTAGAGTCCCTGGATCGCAGGACCCCCCCTGGGGGTCCCCGCGTTACGCCACTGCGAGTAGTCTCTTGCGACAGCGCCGCTCCTTATCTCCCCGACAGAGCGAGGGGGTCGGCCAGAAGGGGGGCGGGGTTGGAGGGAAGGGGATAGGGGAGGGGGTAGGGGGCGGGGGGGAAGGGGATAGGGGAGGGGGTAGGGGGCGGGGGGGAAGGGGATAGGGGAGGGGGTAGGGGGCGGGGGGGAAGGGGATAGGAGAGGGGGGTAACGTGGGGGGGCGTTGGGTTTCTCGCGCGAGTGGAAAGAGTAATGCACACAAACATTCCACACAAACAACAACAACCGCCACTACAATCATTGATGGTGATGTCACCACGGCCAGAGCTCGTGCCAGGCTAGGTGCACTTTGAGTGTGATGACTGTAAATGTTGAGGCTCGCTATGTGATGGCTTAGCCAAGAGGATTGGCAGACGTGCCACCGACACACACACACACAACGGTGCCCCGTATAGCCTTGAACGGACTTTTGGAGCAAGTGCTGTGAGTGAACAGCACATATGAAGTTACACACACTAAACACACACACACTGTCACACACTCTAGCATACACACACTAAACACACATACACACTAAACACACACACACTCTCACACACCCACAAAGACTCTCTCTCTCGCACTCCGAGGCTATAAATAGGCACTGCACCCTGACCAGGCCTCGCCTGTTTAAACAGAACTCAAGGCGGAGACTCGGGAGGACACACAACGTACATAACACATGCACAACACACGTACACACCACGAATACATAACGCACATCCACAACATACACACGTGCATAGCAAACATACACAACACACACACACGACAGATACACGCAGACACACACAGACACTGGATACACACACAGACACACACAGACACTGGATACACACACAGACACTGGATACACACACAGACACTGGATACACACACAGAGACACAGACACTGGATACACACAGACACACAAACACTGGATACACACACAGAGACACAGACACTGGATACACACACAGACACACACAGACACCGGATACACACACGACAGACACACAGACACTGGATACACACACAGACACTGGATACACACACAGACACACACAGACACTGGATACACACACAGAAACACACAGACACTGGGTACACACGCAGACACACACAGACACTGGATACACACACAGAGACACACAGACACTGGATACACACGCAGACACACAGACACTGGATACACACACAGACACTGGATACACACACAGACACACACAGACACTGGATACACACACAGAGACACAGACACTGGATACACACACAGACACACACAGACACTGGATACACACACAGAGACACAGACACTGGATACACACACAGACAGACACAGACACCGGATACACACACACGACAGACACACACAGACACTGGATACACACACAGACACTGGATACACACACAGACACACACAGACACTGGATACACGCACAGACACACACAGACACTGGATACACACACAGACACACACAGACACTGGATACACACACAGAGACACAGCCACTGGATACACACACAGACACTGGATACACACACACTACAGACACACACAGACACTGGATACACACACAGACACTGGATACACACACAGACACACACAGACACTGGATACACACACAGAGACACACACAGACACTGGATACACGCACAGACACACACAGACACTGGATACACACACAGACACACACAGACACTGGATAAACACACAGAGACACACACAGACACTGGATACACACACAGATACACACAGACACTGGATACACACACAGAGACACAGACAGAGACGTGGTGCTGGCCACACCACCCCACGTGTCCGCCTTCATAGGTGCTGCCCGCGAGCAGCACTTGCCCCAACAGGCTGTGAAGGCTACACGGGGGATCTGTGTCTTGTTTAGGGGGGTTGGAGGGGTTAAGAACTCTTGAGGAGCGAGATGGAGGTGGGGGATGGAGTGGGTGGATGGATTGGGGGATTTTGGGAGGAGTGGAGGGGGTGCGAGATGGAGGGGAGGGGTGGGGGATGGAGGGGAGGCGGTGGGAGATGGAGGGGAGGGGTGGGGGATGGAGGGGAGGCGGTGGGAGATGGAGGGGAGGGGTGGGGGGTGGAGGGGAGGGGTGGGGGATGGAGGGGAGGGGTGGGGGATGGAGGGGAGGGGGATGGAGGGGAGGCGGTGGGAGATGGAGGGGGTGGGAGATGGAGGGGAGGCGGTGGGTGATGGAGGGGAGGGGGTGGGGGATGGAGGGGAGGCGGTGGGAGATGGAGGGGAGGGGGTGGGGGATGGAGGGGGTGTGGGATGGAGGGGAGGGGGTGGGGGATGGAGGGGAGGGGTGGGGGATGGAGGGGGTGGGGGATGCAGGAGAGGGGGGCAGCTGCTACTGATGGCATGTGGAGGGAGACGAGAGTCGGATTGGGGGGGAGAGGAGGGGGGTTTGACTCGTGGCCGTCAGCGGAGGAAAATCTGCACCTGTCGAAGCCACACAACCATAGCCCCCCCCGTCACCCCCCACCGAACCACATCACCCAACCAGAGCACCCCATAGCATCACCATTTACAACTCACCCCCACCACCCACCCGTTCCTCGCCTTCTTCCACACCGCTCTTCTTCCCTCCCTCGATCCCGACCACTCAACCTCTCACCCCCCTCCACCGCCGCCGCCGCCGCCGAAGAAGGTAGGGAGTCGAGCTTAGGTAAAGGAAGTAAAATAGTGCAGGGAGGAGGAGGAGGCCGTGAGTGAGCGAGCGAGCGAGCGGAGCGTGACGGGGAAGACGGGAAGGAGGAAGAGTCGCCCAGCAGAGGAACCTGGGGTTTGTAACTCAGTAGGGAAGTTGCCCATCCCCCAGTACCCCTCCCCTGCCCGGCCAGGGACCCCGAAAGGGGGTCGTGTCTCCAGCGAGCGGGGTTTATATCGGGACTCCCTCTGTGAGAGGGATAGGGGGCGGCGGTGAGGCGAGAGATCCCGTGTGGAGGTACGGCGTGCATGCTGCCTTCTCTCTCTCTCTGTGCTGGCTGTAACTGGCCGCGGTGTCCTCTGCCGAGTGCTTCTCCGTGATCTCTTGTATCAAGTACTACTCTATCGTGCTCTCTGCTGTGCACCCTGCTGCATTCTCTACTCTGCTGTCGTGTGGTTTACATCATGCACTCTGCTGTGTGTTGAGTACTCCAGTGTGCATTTTACTCTTGTGTACTCTCTCATGTATTATTCCGTGTGCTGTTGAACCGTGTACTCTCATCTATCGTGTTCACTGTACTGCTGTGTGTACTCTGCATCGTCGTGTGCTTTGCCGTGTACTCTACAGTGCTGTGTATATTACACTCTACCGTGTACTCTATCGTGTACTGTGATGTGTACTCTATTGAGTAGACCAAGTGTGCCGTGTACCCTGTGTCATGGAATATTCTGCGGACTCCGCTGTATACTATTCTGTTCTCTCTGGAGTGATGTGTTCTACTGTAGCATACACAGAGGCATACTGGGTTTCCTATAGGGTTCAGTGTTCATCACTGAGGCTCACAGAGCCAGACTCGGGCTCCTGTAGGGTTCAGTGTTCATCACTGAGGCTCACAGAGCCTTACTACGTCTCCAATAGGGTTCAGTCTTCATCACTGAGGCTCACAGAACCAGACTCGGGCTCCTGTAGGGTTCAGTGTTCATCACTGAGGCTCACAGAGCCATACTACGTCTCCAATAGGGTTCAGTGTTCATCACTGGGGCTCACAGAACCAGACTCGGGCTCCTGTAAGGTTCATTGAACATCACTGAGGCTCACAGAGCCAGACTCCGTCTCCAATAGGGTTCATTGAACATCACTGAGGCTCACAGAGCCATACTCCGTCTCCAATAGGGTTCAGTGTTCATCACTGAGGCTCGTGTAGGCGCAGTCTTAACACTCCTGCCTCCCAGTAAGACGCCCCGAGGTTATATTCCCGACTCTGGCATCTTTCTGAGTGTAGTTTTGTGTTCTCTCCCCCAGTGCTGCATTGCGTTTACTCCGGGTTCTCCAGTTTCCTCCCATACCAAAAAAAACCCCATAGAATGTAATTGGCATTAGCCAAAACAACACCCCAATGCTGACACGTCCCCTGCAGATTACACAACAGCAGCAGCAGCAACACCTCCTGCCTGACCGCGAAAGCGTGGCAGGACCCTCCTCATAAAGAGTCTCGAGACTCGGAGAGGCTTTCCTGGGTAATTAATCTGAATAAGAATCATCACCACTGAGGCTCGCAGAGCGAACTCCTACCGAGTGAAGGTTGACTGGGAGCTTCGACAGAGAGACGTCGACTTACATAGGTCACCATATATCATTAGCGGCCAGCACGCTTACAATGCAGAGGTCACCTTCCTCCCAGCACCTCCTCTGTCCACGCAGCAGTGTAGGTGTCCTCCACCACGGTGGGTCGCGTGCGACGGGGCGGCGGCGGGGGGGAAGAGTGGGGACCCCCTGACCTTTTCCCCTAATTGACCAGCCTGGAAGAGCAGGCCAACTACTCCCCCAGAGGGGGCTCCGTGGAGCTCCCCAGAGGTGGAGGAGCTTCTGCCAGCGGCGGGCGGCGTGGGTGAGCAGTTGCGGGACTGCGCCTTCACCCCTCGTTCATCGTGGCCGTCTCTCTCCGCCCCCACAGGCATGGCCATCCACCTAGAGGGAGATGCGCCCTCCTCCCACGCAGCCGCCCGGCCAAACTGCTCCATCTCCGCACGGGGACCTCCGCCTCTCCCTCCGGCGACGGCGGCGGCGCACGGCGAGGGGCGGTGCGGAGTCGGCGGAGGGGGGGGTGCGGCCCCCCCCACCGCCACCGCCGCGCCCCCCCACGCCTTCCGCTGCCCCGACCACCTGCCCCTGGAAGACGACGGCGGCGACGACGACGACGCCGTGGATTCGGCGATGATCACCGGCGTCGGCGGCGTCGGCGGCGTCGGCACGACCGGTAACGACGGCGGCGTCGGCGTCGGCGGCCGCGTCGCCGCCGCGACCGCGGCCGGCGGGGGCGGCGGCGGGGACTACAAGCTGGTGCCGCACGAAGTCCTCCGTTCGCCCAGCGATTGCTACGAGGTCCTCGGCTTCCTGGGCCGCGGCACCTTCGGCCAGGTGGCCCGGTGCCGCGCCAGGGCCCGCGGCGGGCTGGTCGCCGTCAAGGTGCTCAAGCGCCGGCCGGCGTCGTACGCCCGGCAGGCCCGCGTGGAGGCAGGCATCCTGGCGCAGCTGGGGGACGGCGACGACCACAACCTGGTGAGGGCCTTCGAGAGCTTCTCCCACCGGGGCCACACGTGCCTCGTGTTTGAGCTGCTCGCGCTCTCCCTCTACGACTTCCTCAAGCGCGGCCGCTTCCGCCCGCTGGGCCTCTGGGCCGTGCGGCCCGTCCTGCAGCAGGTGGCCGTGGCGCTCGCCAAGCTCGAGAGCCTGGGCCTCATCCACGCCGACCTCAAGCCGGAGAACATCATGCTGGTGGACCCGGCGCGCCAGCCCTACCGCGTCAAGGTCATCGACTTTGGCTCGGCCAGCCACGTCTCCAAGGCCGTGTGCTCCACCTACCTGCAGTCGCGATATTACAGGTGAGTGGTGGGCAAGGGGGCTTGGTGGTGGAGGAGCGTGGCGGTGAGTGATGGTGTACGTATGTCGAACTTCTTTTGCACCGCGCGTAGCCAACCGTCTTCACTGGAGCTGGTGCCAGCGTGACGGGGAACTGAGTCTGTGGTTTTGTATCCGCGCCGTGTGAGTAGGGTGTGCGAGTAGGGGTGTGAGTAGGGGTGTGAGTAGGGTGTGAGTAGGGGTGTGAGTCGGTGTGTGCGTAGGGTGTGAGTAGGGTGTGTGAGTAGGGGTGTGAGTAGGGTGTGTGAGTAGGGGTGTGAGATAGGGTGTGTGAGTAGGGGTGTGAGTAGGGTGTGTGAGTAGGGGTGTGAGTAGGGTGTGTGAGTAGGGGTGTGAGTAGGGTGTGTGAGTAGGGGTGTGAGTAGGGTGTGTGAGTAGGGGTGTGAGTAGGGTGTGAGTAGGGTGTGTGAGTAGGGTGTGAGTCGGGGTGTGCGAGTAGGGGTGTGAGTAGGGTGTGAGTAGGGGTGTGCGAGTCGGGGTGTGAGTAGGGTGTGAGTAGGGTGCGAGTCGGGGTGTGAGTAGGGTGTGAGTAGGGTGCGAGTCGGGGTGCGAGTAGGGTGTGATTAGGGTGTGAGTCGGGGTGTGAGTCGGGGTGTGCCCTCACCTGTGCCATCGCATCACGGAGCCGCTTGGCAGCAGGCCGAGGTCGGAGTCGCGTTCCGCTGAGACCGCACAGCGAGGGAGTGTGTGTCTGTGTGTCTGTGGGGGGAGCGGTGGCACGGCGAGGGAGTGTGTGTCTGTGTGTCTGTGGGGGGAGCGGTGGCACGGCGAGGGAGTGTGTGTCTGTGTGTCTGTGGGGGGAGCGGTGGCACGGCGAGGGAGTGTGTGTCTGTGTGTCTGTGGGGGGAGCGGTGGCACGGCGAGGGAGTGTGTGTCTGTGTGTCTGTGGGGGGAGCGGTGGCACGGCGAGGGAGTGTGTGTCTCTGTGTCTGTGGGGGGAGCGGTGTCACAGTGAGGGAGTGTGTGTCTGTGTGTCTGTGGGGGGAGCGGTGGCACGGCGAGGGAGTGTGTGTCTGTGTGTCTGTGGGGGGAGCGGTGTCACAGCGAGGGAGTGTGTGTCTGTGTGTCTGTGGGGGGAGTGGTGGAACAGCGAGGGAGTGTGTGTCTGTGTGTCTGTGGGGGGAGTGGTGGCAGAGCGAGGGAGTGTGTGTCTGTGTGTCTGTGGGGGGAGCGGTGGAACAGCGAGGGAGTGTGTGTCTGTGTGTCTGTGGCGAATATTCAGCCGGGCCTGGGCCTCCCATAGGTTGACTCGGCCTTAAATTAGTACCTGGTTTGGTAAACGAGCATTGGGGAGACAAAGGCGGCCGGGGGTGGCGCTGGCCAGCTACCCCCTCGTGCCCCGTGCCGTCCTTCATAGGTGCTCGCTAACGGCACTTGCCCCAGCAGTCTCCTAAATGCTATACGGGGGGAGCTTTTTCTTTGCGTGGGGGTCAGTGCGAGTATGAGTTTGTGAGTGTGTGTGTTACGGACGAGCGAGTGTGTATTTTGCAATCAAAGTGCACCTATCCTGGCACAAGCGTCGTGGTGAGGTCACCGGCACTTAGTGGCGAATGTTGGCTGTTGTGTGGGTGCGGCAGAGGGCATCGGTCAGATCCTCACCATCACGACTCTCTGGTTATCATAATCATCATCGCAGTATAATTGAGGATCGCCATCCACCATCATCATCCATCATCACCATCCTCGCCAAGGCTTCATTTTTCAATGAATATATTCCCAGTCGCTGTGTCGGCTGGCGACTTGTAGCAACAGTAGCCATAGCATATTAGCGAGAGCTATGCTGGATGCGGTGTGCCGGGCGGGGAAGCTTCTTGCGGGTCGCCGATCCGGGCAGGCCCGACTTGAATCACCGATCGTCAGCCCTCACCAGCCATCATCCATCACCAACCTTCACCATCCCCACACCGCTCCTCACCACCTTACTCACCACTCCTCATCACCCGTCACCCTCTCTCTCGGCAGCTGCTTGAGTAGGGTAACTCGAGATAGGTTGTGGTGACGTCACTGCGGGTGCTCATTACCGACCCCAGCAAAGACCCCCCCCCTCTCCTTACCCCTCCCCCCACACTTATCCAATCCCAGGGGTCCACGTGACCCCCTCCTTACTTGCTTATGCGGGCAGTGTGAGCAGTGCGGGTGATACCATTCATAGGGGGGGTCGGCAGGGAGGGGGGCATTAGCATATGTCACAAACATCCCGACTTGCTTTATCTGGAATCAACCTGCCGCGGTCATCCACAACCACCACTAATCACCCACCACCACCGCCACCAGCACCGGCAAACACCACCATCAACCATCCTCCACGTTTGGTGGGCGGTGGTGGTGGGTGGTTGGTGTGTCTGGGCAAGCGTCACGGAGTCTCCAGACTCCTTGTCAGGAGGGTGCCGCTACGCCGGGGTGCTTGGGTCATGAGCGGTGAGGGTCCGGTGGCTTCGTGTGGCCACGGAACCGGAGAACCCAGAGAGAACCCGGAGAGAACCCGGAGAGAACCCGGAGAGAACCCGGAGAGAACCCGGAGAGAACCCGGAGAGAACCTGGAGAGAACCCGGCACCATGCTGCTGTGTCCGAGGGGGGGACACCCGTAGCTCCGCTACGCATGAACCCACTTGCGGTACTGCAACCTCTTGGCGACTCGAGTTCGGTTCGCGCTCACGGCCAATAACAGTGGCGAATATTTGAACCGGTCCTGGGCCTCCCCTACGTAGACTCGGCATCAAATGAGCACCTGGTGCGGTGTGTAAACATCGCCACTCGGGAGACAAAGGCGGCCGGGCGTGGTGTTGACCACCCACCCCCTCGTGTGCCGTGCCGGTCTTCATAAGCGCTACTCGCTAACGGCACTTGCCCAAAAAGCCTGTTAAGGCTATACGGGGGATCTTTGTCTTGTTTATGTGTGTGGGGAGCGGTCGCATCGCGGTTAGCACGCTGTGCCATGAACACGGTGACCCGAGTGTGTCATCGAGAGGGAGTGCGTTTTAGAAAGTGTGTGAACGAGAGTGTGTTCGATAGAGAGAGTTTTAGAGAGTGTCCGAATATGTGCAAGAGAGAGTATGTCACAGCGTATTCATGAGTGTGTCAGCGTTTCAGTATTTAAGGCAGTGTAAGAGTGTGGTTAGGGTGCGTGTAAGCGTGCGCTTTCAGCAGCAGCGTGTCAAATGGTCTGTGTGTGTGTGAGAGAGAGAAAGAATGTGTGTGAGCATGTAGGTCTGAGTGCGTTCGTCACAGGATGTGTGCGTGTCAGTGCTCGCAAACATCACTTGCTCCATCAGTCTATGTAGGCTTTATGGGGGACCTTTATCTATGTTTTGTGAGAGTGTGTGTTTGTGCGTGTCGACTCAGCCTAAAATGAGTAGCTGGTGCGGTGTGTGAACATCGCCACTCGGGAGACAAAGGTGGCCGGGCGTGGTGCTGGCCACCCACCCGGTCGTGTGCCGTGCTTAATAGGTGCTCGCTAACAGCACTTTGCCAAACATTCTAATGCGATGTGTAGACCGTTAACATTGGGGAGACAAAGGCGGCCGGACGTGTTGGCCTTCATAGGTGCTCGCTAACAACACACTTGCCCCGACGGGCTATATGGGGTATCTTTGTTTTTGTTTTGTGAGAGTGTGTAAGCGTGAGCACGCGTGTGAGAAAATGTGTCAAATCATAGCACCCACGTGGTTATTTTTCTCGCGCTGTAAGGTTCAAATGCGGCGAACCAAGCCGAGATGCCGCACTATCCAGCAGCACACAGACCAAGGACAGTGCCTGCACGGATCACAGCATGTTACCTGCAGATTACAGAAGTTGCAGGGCTGCACCTGTACCCTTGTAAGATTCAGGGGTTTTATTTTAATCGAGCGAACCTGCTAATTCACTGCGTTTCCATTGACGAAGGGAAACAAGTCACATTTCCCCATCGATATTTCCCATTTTTTTATAATTATTCACGTAACTTTTCCGAAACGAAATCGCCTCTTTGCTCGCGGCCTCCAGTGCCGGCGTGCGAACGCTTTTCACCCGGATCGCTTGCCGATTCTATCCGCCTGCGACCGCGCGGAATTGGTGACGTGCGGCTCGCTGCACGGGCGTAACCACCTGCGATGAAATCTGCCACGCTTCTCTCTTTGTCCTTCACGACGTACGCACCACGGGAAGGCGGGGTGGGGGGAGCTGATTCAGGGTTGTGATGCGCTGGGGAAATAAAAAGGGATGGGAATAGGCAGAGGGAAGAGAGAGGAACTAAGGGGACCAGGATGGAGAAGGAACCGAGAGACGGGAGAAAAGGGTTCAGGAAAGATGACGATGAGGAGGGAGAGGCGGCTGCATCAGGGCCTCGACGCTGCTGCTGTTGCACGGACGAGGAGCGGCGTCTGTTTTCCCAGCGGGCGGCGGGGAGAGGGGGAGGGGTTCAGAGTGGGGGTGGCCACACAGAAGCCACGTGATTTACTGGAGGCTTGATTGAGCTGGTTTAGAGAGAGAGGGCGAGAGACGAACGTGATGTATTGGAGTCAAACACGGCAGCGGTGAGTGGCGGCGCCCTGCTGCGGCATCGTCTCTCTTCTCTCTCGCTCGGGGTCGTGTTGGGCGCGGTGCTCGGAGTCACCGCGTCACTGCGCGACCGTTCGGCATAGAAACCGCTGCCGGATACTCATTAACCTGACACTGGTGCCAGCCTGTACCACGATAACAACACACAACCACCACCACCACTGGTGCCACCCTGTACCACGACAACAACACACAACCACCACCGGTGCCACCCTGGACCACGACCGCAACACACAACCACCACCACCACTGGTGCCAGCCTGGACCACGACATCAATACACAACCACCACCACCACCGGTGCCAGCCTGGACCACGACAACAACACACAACCACCACCACCACTGGTGCCACCCTGGACCACGACAACAACACACAACCACCACCACCGGTACCACCCTGGACCACGACATCAATACACAACCAC